TAGTTCTTGCTAAACCCACCTTAACTGCAAATAAATCTATGAATGAGATTTGTTAATACAGATTTAAATGTTGTGACTCCTGCAGCTGGAAAGATTTCACTGAACCATCTGGGTCTCTCAGTAATAATCTCACAGCATCATTAGAAGCTACATTAGAAGTTTCTGTAAACCTGCTTTCCTACAGTTTGTCCACAGCGTGCATGTTTGTTGTTGCACAAGCAAATATCTTCACCATCTGTCATGTAATAAGATGTCTGACATTTGTGACCTTATTACAAACAGTCAGATCATTATCAGACAGTTTAACATCAGCAGATCTTAAATGTTTGTTCTCTTTGCTTCTACAACTCATGACAACACTTTTACAGGCATCATGTCTGATATCATTTTTATACCAAAAGAAGAAGCTGGGAAGGAGCTGCTTGAGACCACGAGATCATCTGCGTACATAATGTGCTTCACAGGAGTCCAGCCAGATTTACAGACTTTCTAATCATCAACATGAAGATTAAAAAGAGCTGGAGACAAAATTCATCCTTGTTTAACTCGGTGAGAAACAAACAAGGAGGAATTTGAATAACAACAGAAGTGTTTGACTGAAGCTCGGTTTACTTAAATGTAGTGAGAAAGGATGAGATTCAATTTAATCCTTATGAGCAAACTTAAATATAATCATTTAATGCATTTTAATTGTCATTGAACATCAGATTTCAATGTCAGTATGTTGTTGCAAGAAAAATAATGGTGAATTAAAGTGATGACATAATTTATTAGAGAGAAACAAACTGACCTGCAGACCAGACAAACTTTGGTTGACTGTGATCAGTGTGATACTCTGGGTCTCCTCTTCCAGCTCTGCACACATATCCTGCTGTGTGTGTCTGTCCATGAATGATGTAGGAGTCCTGTGCAGTCCCACTGCCATCAGGTAGCAGCTCATAACTGGAGGATTTCTCTGATAGATCAGGAACAGCTTTATACCAGTAGAAGCTCCATCCTGCAGACGGATGTTCAACCTCACAGTTCAGAGTTACTGAGGCTCCAGGACTCAGCCATGATGGAGACACAGTGAGGACAGGACGGGGTTCATCTGTTCAACAAAGATTTTCTCTCAGTGAACATGTAGTACAGTCTCTGAACAGTGAGCTCAGTTTATACAAAGAATAATAATCTCAGTCTATATGAACAGAAACACATTTTACAAAGTGTTCAAACAGCTTAAAGCAAATATGACTTACTGTCAGAAACTGTCAGTGTGACTGAATCACTCCACTCTGTTGTTTCATGCTGTGAACTTTTCATTCTGCCCTTACAGCGATAGTTTCCACTGTTGAATGATGAAGCAGATCTAATCCTGTATTCATTTTGATTTGGAGCTTTTATCATGCTGTTAGTTTCCCACTCATAATCCCACTCAGTGTCTCCTCCATGGATCTCACATCTGACAGTGATCGTCTCTCCTCTGTATATCTCAGACCAGTTTGGATACAGAGTCACAACAGGCCTGTTTGACACTGTTAATGTTCAAGAAAGTACAATAAAAACACATGAAAGACAAAAGGTTCAATTACCATCAGACGCAATGCTTTGTGGGAAGTTACATTTAAACTCACCAGTTGTGTCAATCCTGACTGACTGACTGTCCTCTGTGTAGTAAACTGGTTCTCCTCTTCCTCCTCTGCACCTGTAGCGTCCTCCCTCTGAGACACTGATTTGTCCATTTGTCAGAATCTGATAAGATTTCCTATATCTGTACCAGTAGTATTTCCATCCAGATGATGATGATGATGATGGTGATGATGATGATGGGTTCACAGAGCAGGTCAGGGTCACACTGCCCCCTACTGGAACAGCTGTGCCATCAGCTCTCAGTTCAGCCTTTGGTTTCGCTGCGGTTCAGTTTAGAACAAGAACATAAAAGTAAAAATGACTGAATCAGAACAATTTAAAGATGGAAATATGTAAATGATCAAATATCACAAAACTTTATTGGTGAAGCTATAACAAAGTGTGTGACACAAAATACTCTGAAATACTGTTTTGATCAGCATAGCAATTTTTTAAAAATTTACTTCATTGTATTTAAAATGAATTAATAAATAGTTCATTTACTGTCATTAATTTGAAGCATGACTTAGTTAATTCATCTGTAATGAGAAAGTAACCCAGGTTAATATGATCTGATTGTACTTCGCATGCTATGTGCTTGTGTTCTTTACTAAATCTGATGTTGAAGCCTCTGATAGCTAAGATGAGACCTAGTAAGTGTGTTTTATATTCTTTTGCTGTGGAAGCTGACATTTCCTGCTGATGTGCACAGATGTGTCAGAATGGGTTTTAAAAGACACATCGATGGTTTGGAGGAAGTAATTACTGAAGCTAACTCAGAAAAATCAATTAGAGAAAAAACTCTAAATAAATATCAATGGCACTGAAAGTAGCTGCACATAATGTTATGTCTGTGAGATGATTATGAGTAATTTCTATACTCATTAAATATCATTACTCTAAATTAATAACATACCAGCACAGACCAGCGTCAAACAAAATGAGGCCATATTGTCGTCTGAAGTTCAGAGTCCATGAAATGGCCTGTGTTTGTATAGCGCTTTACACATTCAGTCATCCACCCATTCACACACTGGTGATGGCAAGCTACATTGTACCCACAGCCACCCTGGCGCACTGACAGAGGCGAGGTTCATTAAGTGAAAAAGATCCAGTGTGTGTTTGTCATGAGATCATACTCTTTAACTAAAACCTGAAACCTCTAAGATCATTTCAACAATACACAACATGCTAAAAACAACTGAAGTAACTGCATCATATGTTGGTGCAACAGGGAGTAATAAAAATAAAAAATTACACAAATACAGAAGTGAAAATATTGGATGTAACTGTTGTTCTTAGTGGATGTGGTGGAGCAGCTGAAACAGGTTCAACATTTGTTCTGCACTTCATGTATTAGAGCTGCACAGCAGAGAAGTTACTCTGATTTTCAAAATATTTTACTGAGCAGCACAAATGAAACAGCTACAAAGCTGCAAGAACAACAGATTCTTACTAATGTTGATAAAACAGATCTCCAACTTACATGATACAGACAGTGTGATGGTATCACTCCACTCTGTTAACAAATAGGTCCTTTTGCCCCGGCAGCTGTATCCTCCACTGTCAGACTCAGTTACTCTGATGATTCTGTATTCACTGGATGTATCAGGTATGTTAACCTGGTCTTGTCTCCATTCATACGTCCACTGAGCTCCTTCACCTCCCTGAATCTCACATCTGACACTGATTGTCTCACCGCTGTATATCTGAGTCCAGGGTGGCTGCAGGGTCACAGTGGGCTTAATGGGAACTGTTCACATAAGAATGATCCAGTTAGAAGAAGAGAAACAGAAAAACTCTGCTGTTTATAACATAAGAGTAGAGTCACTGCAAAACAGCTGATTCAAAGACAAACAGTTTGAAGACAATAATATTATTTATAGCTTTCAAACTGTAACACAACACTTTTAGTAAAATGTACAAGTATTTACTTTGTACAGTTATATTTTATTTATATTCTTTATAAATAAATTTATTATTTAAAAAAAGTTTTTTTAATGAGTTATCTTAAGTCTGATTTACTTTCACAAAGATACGATCTTTGAGGTGTATAAACAAATCATTGTGGATAACCAGAACATTGATGAGTTTAATAAGAAAACACTTTAGATTAAATTTAGAAACAGGATGAGGAGAGAGTTTCTGTAAATGCCAGGATTAGTTAGGCTCTTGAAGAGGTTAGTCTGTCAAGGCCAATCCTTAATCTCACAATCTTAAAGTAGACACAACAAAACTGAAGTTCTTCTGTCTTTCTATTTCCATCTCTCAAAGTAATCCTGCTGTCAGAAAGAGAAACAGAAGAACAGACTAGTCCCCAAAGACAGGACGTGACAGTAATGACAACTTTATACAAGACTTTTCAAACTCAAAATTTCACAACTCTTTATAGGAGCAGAAGAATAAATAAACAAAAGTGACAAATGTAGAAAAACAACAACACAGTTCAAAGAACATTAACATGTCGAGTAAAACTGGAGAATTCGTCTCATGAAAATATTACTTAAAGAAACTAAAAGGAAGTGACTGACTCCATGTCAGACTCCAGGCCATGAAGCACCTTAAAAGCAAATAATTAAATCCTGAAATCAGTTTGAAAACATGCTGGGAGCCAGTGTAACAGTGGGACAGGTGTAATCCCATGTGATGTGATGTGATGTGAGGTGTCTGAGTTGGTCTGCAGTCATTCATCTGATTGTTTGCTGAGACTGTTTCAGTGATCTCGGTGTGAAAAATCAAAGCATGTAAAATGGTTTCCTGTCTTTAAATGTTTTAAAATGACTCATAATTTATGTTGCAATTAATCCAGAAATATTTTTGTTATTGTCTTGAAATTTCCCAGCAGAGAAGAAACTGATGGCAGCATGTGTTCAGCATGTGATCAGGATGTGTTCAGCTGAGGAGATTCAATGGCAACATTGCCTGAGTTTAGCTGAAAGACATTAGCTCACATTCAGTTTTGAAACAGTGATGAAAACTCTGCGTTTGCAGCCACAGACACAAGGCAGCTGGGACAATGACAATTGCATTTATTTTTTTCATGTTACAAACACTTTTTTTTTTCTTTTCCAGATGTTTGACTCTGAATGACAACTGAATATTTTTATAAAGGAAAAACTGTTTTACATGACTTTGGATACTAAACTAAAAAAAAAAAAAAAGTGCAGTATTTTGTTGTGTTTTGGGAATTAAAATGAGTGAAATGTGTCCAACTTACCCGTTACTCTCAATGTGGTGATGTCACTCCACTCTGTCCAGGAAGAGTTTCTTCTGCCCCGACAGCTGTATCCTCCACCATCAGACTCAGCAACGCTGATGATTCTGTATTCACTGGATGTTGGAGGTGTGTTTACCTGGTCTCGTCTCCATTCATACATCCACTGAGCTCCTTCACCTCCCTGAATCTCACATCTGACAGTGACTGTCTCACCGCTGTATATCTGAGTCCAGGATGGCTGCAGGGTCACAGTGGGCTTAGGAGGAGCTGATCAAATAAAACATAGCATTAGCAGACTGATAATTGGACTTAAAAAATCAACAATAAAAAGTTTAGTTTTTACCAAACAGATTAAATGATATTTAGACTCAACCAGCAGAGTGACTGACCACAACCAGGTGTGCACAAATCTAAACTGTGACACTGAACATTAACGCATAAACACACAATATCATGTAAACAACCTCAGTTTTATAGTCAAATATCACACAATTTACTTATTTCCAGAGGTGGGAAGTAATGAAGTACAAATCTGTACTTTACTTGAGTATTTATGTTGACATTGTGTTTTTAATAGTGTGAAGCATGCTGCAAAACAAACTGAGGTAGAATCACTGTGTTATTTAGAGGCTGCATGAAAATCCTCTACAGATTAGTGCAGGATAAACAGGTTAGTTTGCTGTACTGTGATGGATTTAAAGGAAAGAACAATGTGTGACTGGTGCACAGTGGCAGTCCAATATAAAGTCAGTATAAACAGTGTACTGTGAGCGTAGAGACGAGGACAACTCATGAAACGTCTGCTTACATCTGACTGAATTCAGGTGGATAAATCTGTAAAGAGCAGCAGGTCAGCTGATCACAGCTCATACATTAAGAAAATCTACTGGAGCTCTCAATAGAAAATAGGC